GCTCGGGCTGACTACTTGGTCCCCACTCTCGTTCGAGGCTCGAGGGTCGCTACTGTTTTAATTGGTCAAATATAACTTGTTGACGGTGTTGAAGCTAACGTTATCAGATTTCTATATGCGTAGACCTGGGTGTCCTCTGTGCTTGCGATCTTGGCGTAAAGCTACCAATATGTTTGATACTGAGAGCTTCCTGCCATACAGAACGTAAATCCTATCAATCGCTGTATCACTCGTGAAACCAGCTTGAATCAGGTTTCCAAAAACAAATTGCGTCGCGAATACGCACAATTATTTGCGCCCCTCTCGGTAGCTGTAAACTCCTTTGCCGTTTTCAAGTCACCGCATTGATTTTGGTACTCGTACCAAAGCGCAAATAGATGTTTAGGCCGCTTTGACATCGTGGCAGCCACCACGCGAGAGGACCTTTCAGTAATTATCGGGATCTGTGAAGTCACATCCTAATCTGCATACTGGGCTGCATTGCAAGGCGTCTCACAGCTGCTTGCAGTTTCTGCAGCTCGCGCTACTGTTCGTTGCGTAATCGTTGTACTTCATGCGTCATCTCCGTCATGTATCGGCGGTTAGCAGTGATCCGCGAGTGGAGAGCAGCAAGCTCGCGGCGATTGTATTCCCCTCCAACTGCGCGACCTACGCGTGATCTCTGAGCTGAAGCATCGTTTGCTTTGATGGGCTCGCTGTTGCTAATGTGGACCAGGTTGAGCTGGGCACCGTCGCCAGTAACGTAAAAGTCCTCGCATTGAACAGGGTTAACGGCTTTAGTTCCACCCGCGTTTGGGTAAGCACACAATATCGTTTGTCTTACCTTACTCGGGATAAGCGCGTATTTGTAACTTTCTGGCGTCTCAAGTGCGGCCCATAGCAACGGCAACTCCAACGTAGTTGCAATAGATGTACCCATAAGCTGCTTCACTGCCGCTGCAACCTGTTCAAAGGGCAGACTTGGCGTGACACAGTTAAGTTCAGGCTTTATAGTATGTATGCATGGTTCTGCTGGACCAGCCAGTGCTGTAGCGGCCAATGCATCTAGATAAGGCTGGGTATTATCGATGTAGACGTCAGCCAAGTCTTTGTTTGTTCGTCAACGGCTCGCCGGTTGCATAAGTAGCCGCTCCATTGTGCAGACTGTGAGTCCCCAGCTTTCCAGCATTCATCTTTTGAAATGCCTGATTCTTCGCGGTATCGGTCAAGAATCGCATTACCACTCGATCGCCGTCCTCCGGCTTACCATATAAAAACTCCGAGCCCATAACCTTCGATGTGGAGCCAATATAAACTGCGAGATTCAGCAAAGCACACAACTTGAGGTCCATGCTCTGGGGGCATCACGCTCTTCGCGAATAGTTTTAGACTACCGCAGTTGAAAGAGAAGGGTTGACAGGTATTGAGTGTTGGGTGAGAAGCTCCTGGATTGTAGTTTCATCATGTCATCAATACGAGCGCACATATCCCACTGCAGTATCAATACACTGCCTCCCATATAAGCTGTATTTGTATCTACCCTCTTTGTTCGCATTAGCATTAAGAGGCTCAAGAACTCATCTAATTCCACAGGGCGGCGAACATTGGACTCGGCTCCTTCACGCCGAATCTCAAACTTCTTCACCTTCTTAATCGGCTTATTGACTTCGTCCGAGCGGGTGGGGTTGCCACGCTCCATGACTGGGTTCCACGTTGAATTGATGCGCGGCATAAATGGCAAATGGCCTTCTTAGAGAGATCAAGTGTGCTCGACCGGCGGCGAACAGGTCTCATGTCTTCACTGGGAGCCGAGTCCCCATACGCTTGTTGGTTCATCCAACGGCACGAGTGGTCGGGTTTGATCTGCAGTAGTTCCTCTATTGTGAATACGCGGTCGCAGCTGTACTCGACACCGTCCTTGAAGGACATGATCCTGACTAGTTATGTATCGACTTGTCTTGGCGCTGGTTCTTGTGGTAATGACCGGAGCGGG